GGGGAAGTGCCACCTAGCGGGCGCAGACCCCGGGCACCGACATCCTCCTGCCCCCGGGGTGCCGACGAGGGCTGCAAAAGGATGACCGGGGGTTCCCCAGCAGCGCCGTCCTGCACCCCGGGTCAGGGGCATGGCCCGAGGAGAGCTGAAGGCAGTCTTCCTGGCAGCCCCTCCTGCCACCCTGGTGACCTTCTGTGCGGGGGGATGTTGGCAAAGGGATGAGCAGAGGCTCCCAGCAGGGCTGACCCTTCCATCGGCCCTGGTGCCTTCCTGCACCCCGGGGTGCCTGTCCCAGGTGGTCCCCAGGAGGTTTCTGCTGGCTTCTGTCTGGTCCAGGAGCTCTCCCGGGTGCGTGTGTTCACCCAGGCTAGTGCGCGTGTGTGGCTGAGCAGGTCTTCCTCCCAGTTACTGGCCATGCTTCCCAGACTAGGATGGCTGCAGGATGTTTTTTGTCATGGATATCTTTTATTTACCCACCGAATCCCCAATTCATAGTCATGTGCAGCTAGGGGTGTTGGTGTCTTCTCATAAGCAGGGATTTCACTAGCTGGCCACCTCTCTCCAGTCCTTACACGTGGATTTAAAGCTTGTCTCAGGGAGAGCCACTGTATGAAACCAGCACAACGTGATGGGGTTGCACTGAGGCCTCCAGCACACTGCAGCACTGTCTTCCTCTGGGCAGGGGTGGCTTGGGTGAATGTCATTGGCATAGGGATGGGGTCTGGTAGATGTCCCCTCTTTTGTGCTCCCTGCCTACGGATCAGTAATCTGCTTTCCTTAAGTTCCAGTGGGATGGCTGTGCGGAGTAGCGCAGCTCGGCATGGGTGCGATGGGAGCTGGAGCTTCAGCCCATGCCTTCGCAGGGGTCGCTGCAGAACCGGGCACTCATGCAGCTCCCTCGTTAACTGCTCGTTTTGGTGGGCAGTCCTGCTCCATGGTTTGTCATCACCCAAAGCTGACCGCCTGTTCCTCTCTGGTCTCTCTCAGCTAGGCACATTCAAGTCTGATGATGGGGACTATTTCGTAGAGCCACTGCTATCGCTCGAAGAACAGGAGTATGAAGAAGAGCACAATAAGCCACATCTAGTCTACAGACACCGGACACCTCCAACCAACTCTTCAGGGGACAGGCAGATTTGCGATACTCCAGGTATTCGTTTTCTTACTGCCCTTGATGACCTGGTACTTAGGAAAGGGAACTAATTTGTTGTAATTAGTAGGTTTGTCTGGGGCAGAAGGGCTGCAGAGTTGAGGGACCCCTCTAGAAATGGTACTGCGTGTGCTAGGACTGGGCTTGCAGTGGTACTGCTGTCCTGAGGAGACGTGGTGTGCCTGTGCTTTCTAGTAATCGGTTAAAAGGAAGTTGTGGTCAGGAAAAATCTTACCGTTTCCATTTCATCCCTGCTGGAAGTCTGGCGAGAGATCCTTTGGGCTGTCTTGCCTTAAATATCCCACGAGCCTTTAAACTTGCTTTCTGTCCTCTCCTATGTGTCATTCTTAACCATCCTAATCTGACTTTCCTTCTGTCTGAAATTCTGTTTCTGTCCTTTAAATGACATCCTTCTGTCGTGGTCTAGCTGTGCTCCTGGTCTTCCCTCCCCAAATTTGGTTGCGAGTTACAATGTCTTACGTCTTTCTAGTGGAAATGAGAAAGAAGGTCTATCAGCAACCCTGACAGTTCTTCCCTTATTAATCGCTTTTCTATGGTTCATTTTCAAAGGCTTTTTTTTTTTTTTTGCTCGTGGCCCCTCCTCCACCAGCACCATCTCCCTGACCTCCTCGCTCCCTCTTTCTGGTCTTTGCACATATGAAAGAGCACAAGCCTTTTTATCTCCCCTTCACGTGCCTTGGTGAGCAACAGCCTCGCTCCTACTGTCCCTATTATCTGCGGCGGCCTCCTGCTGCTCTCTGCTTCGTTGACTTCCTGATTTTCACAACTAATCCTCTCCTTTGGCAGCAAATACCTAAGTTCTCTCTGAAGAAGCTTATTCCTTCGGTCTCCTGTTTCACCTGCTGTTTTGCCCTTTCTCCTTTGGCCTGCAGCTAGATCTACAGGAGCTTTAAAGCCTAAACAGAGTAGACCTTGACTGGCTTCCCTTGCGTGGGCTGCGAGCCGCTCATGTGCTGCAAAGTAGGTGGAGTTGCTGAGGGAGTAAAGGTATCACTGGTGGAGAAGCATGGTGCCAAACTTAGGCTGCGTTTAGCACGCCTGACTCGTTTGGCACCCATAACTGTGGATCGCGGCCGTGCTGTTGAGCTGTTGGTCTGTTCAGCTTTGCACTGATCGCATGCTAAGTCAGAAGATGCTCTGGTGCTCTGTGACCAGTCAGAGCTGAGGCACTAGCAACGTGTGTTTCTTCTAGAAGACATGTGGATACGTGTCCACATGCAAACATACGTGCTGGGGGACAATGGTACCTCTCCCAAGGCTGTCGTTGTGTGTTCTTCCAAGGGTTGCTGCTGGACTATGCCATTCTGGTTTCTCTCTTCCAGCTGTTTCTGCTCCCTTCTTTGAGATCAGATGCAGGAGACTCAGAACAGTTGGAAAGAAACACGGAATCTGGCACATTGCATCAGTAGCCCTTGGAGGAAATGGAGCAGCAGATCACAGGACTCATTGAATCAAAGGTAGCTGGGAGGGCTCTGACATTCGCTTGTGGACTTTATTCTGTGCCATTATAACAGTCTGCTGTCTTTCACCCCGCTGTATCATAGCTTCCACGTAGGGTATTATTCTTCTGGATCGTGATTCACAAGAATAATACTCCGTCTGTGACATTACCTACATGATGTATCTCTTTGTCCTCTTCTCCAACATGCCTTACCTCTTGCTTGTCTTTGTTTCCTTCTTGCTCTTCTCGGTGTCTTTGTGTAGTAGAGGGAGGACGTCTCGCCTCTCAAATACAAGCTTAAGGCTTCCAGATAGGTGTGACGGCCTTACTTGTCCTCCTGTCCTCTTCCCCTCCATGTCTCTCTCTCCCTTTTACTGTTGTCCAAGTTTTTGAAAGGGAATGACGCTTTGGTAATACACGTTTGGTGAACAAGTCTTGGTCGCTTCATTTAAGGAGCCAGGGCAGGGCAGCATGGGCAGTGGTGAACCTTGGCATCGCCCCTGGGGTGTGCCTGGTGGTTATGTCTGGTATCTCATGTGTCTTTGGAGCAGAGGGGAAAACGCAAAATCTAGCAGCACTCATTGTTTTGGGGTGTATCTGTCACGGCTACCAGAGAAGAATGGTTTCATGAGAGTTTGGGTGTTTGTTATAGCTGTAGGGTGTTGTGTGAATCCAGTCTTTTGTCAGAAGAACGCGTGAAAAGGTGCGTTTGCGTTGCAGGCTTCTGGCAGGGATTGAAATTTGCTCAAAGAGGAAATGATTGCGAGGGAAATCTTGAGTAGCCACCCTGCAGTGAGCAAGGGAGCCCACGTTGCTGGGTAGTGGTGCTGTTAAGAATGGCTTTCTGATAGTCTTCTTCCTGGAAATGATTAATAAGCAAAATACTGGTGTGCCCTTGCCATGATGATGTAATTATAGACTTCTTGCAGTGTCCAGGAAAAGTTTCCCATGTGAGTTGACTGACAGATTGAGTAAAAGCTTTCATTTTCAGCAGTCTCCCTGGTGCTACTTTTAGTTTTCATCGTCCTCAGGTCAGCTTAGAAAAACAGGTATCTGATTCTGTTAAGTTTTAATTAGCAGTTTCTGATAAAGGTTTTAGGTCCTCTGACATATGAGATACTCTGCAGATGTTCTGAAAAAAGCTTTTTCTCCTCGGAACGCTGATGAATATTGAATGCAAACTGTGCTCTGTGTATGAACTTTCATAGCACACCACCGGGGTCTCCTGGCAATGCTCTTCAGCCGTCTGGCGTATAGCTCAACCGCCTCAATAAAAACTTTTGACAAAGTTCTCCTTGGGGTAACAGGTTAATGTAGTTTCAGTCATAGGAAATGGTGCAATTTCTCCTCCTTCCCTTCTTTTAGTTAGTACCGTGAATCAATTTGTCATCTGGTGGAGGATCTGGCAGAATAATTAGTTGTGTTTTACTGAATAGCCCTGACGGGATGAAGACTTGGCCAGGCTGACAGCGTGATGTCACTAGGTGCAGCGCCGCTACCACCCATCGCTTCACGATAGCAAGCTCTTCC